GAATATCTTTTTGGGGAACAACAGTATGTCGAACACCCATAAATGCAGGAATTTTCTCGAATTCTAGTTTTTAACCTTCTCTGATTACTGAAATTACCCATTGATCTGTGGTTATCTTTTCCCACATTAACGCAAAAAATCTGAGATGACCCCCAACAGGTATCTGGGGTTCTAGACAAAGAATTTTTCTTACCTGGTCATTGTTTCTTTGGGATACGAAAAGTAGGTATAGCACCAGTGCTTCTATGTTTCACACTATGAGACTTGAAATCTTTCTGTCTATTTTCTTTATTTCCACTTAATGGAAAAGTCCTACTGTTAGATACATTGTATGGAAATGACTGTCTTTGCCCTCCAGTGTTATGCTGTACTTTAGCCTTCTTAAAATTGGACCTTTCATATGAAGTCTCAGGTTTCCTTTTCTGCCTTTCAAAAAATTCTGGAACCAAGTCTATTAACTGGTCTTTTTGTTCTTTCCTATTTTTTAATTTAGACTGCAGACCCGAACCAAACACACCATCTGCCGTAAGAGGCAAATACATAACTTTTGACTGAATGTCTTTCAATGTATTTAAACCCGAATCTGATACTGCGGTCTTCCTACGGGAAAGATGATGAAACGCCCCTGATCTTCCAGCTTGATCCAAGGCTTTTGACGACATTTCAAAAATATCTCTAACAGTTTGAACTGCTTTGTCCATATTTGGTTCTTTTTCCGTAAGAGTAGACAATAAGCTACCTAAACTCTTTTGAATATAAGAAATAGCAATAATGTTCAACCTAGACGCTAATTGTCCTTGGTAATTTAGTGTTTCAATTGACTTTAATGGTTGAGTGCACAATTGTCTGCTTTTACCCCATGCTTTTGTCATTTTTGCACCATGTCGTTTTTGTAGCATAGGTTCCAATAATTCATCCAATCCAGGAACCCCTAGAAATTCTACACCTTTCTCGTGAACAGGAAAGCAAGATTTATATTCGTCTTTATAAGCCGAAATACACTCCGGATTTTGTGCTCTCCATGATTAATTAAGTATAGACACTTGTAAATCATCTAAAATTAAACCACTAGAAGCACCATCATGCTGTGAACTATCTGAGCCAAATAACTCTTGTAACATAATAGGAGTTTCTGGATTTAAATACCCCTGAAAAGCAACATTACGAGTTGCTGAACTGTCAGAAATAGATGAATGAATTGAGGCAACATCATCACAAAGACCAAAACTGTCAAGACTCTCTTGATCTCTAGGATGCAAGGACAAAATATCATCTGTAACAGCATCATCATTAATGTTCATACATCTAGGAGGTCTGTGAGCCAAAGCGCTACTACCCCCATCAACAGCTCCCAGCTGGGCTGAACCCCCTTTTTGCTGTCCCATATTATCAACAGTTCTCAGCAGGGCTGAACCTTCTGTATACTATGACGTAGATTTTAAAGCTTCTAAAGACTGAAAAAGTCTTTCAAAACCAGAGTCAAACTTACGTTCCATATCCGAAACTCTTTTATCCAAATCCTTGACACTGCATTTTGGACAACTAAACGAGGCATGTGGTTTAGTGTTCGATTTCGAATGAACCGATTTCACCGAAGTCGAAGATTTGTCATTTTTTTCGGTATCAATAAAACTGTAATCCTTATCACTAGCGGCCCGAACCGCTGCTTCAGCCATAAAAAACAAAAAGCAAATAAATAAAAGTCCAACAAAAGAAACTATATCGCTGTAACAAGCGAGCATAAGTGAAACGTCCGATTGTTTTCACGCTAAAAGTAAAACTGAGGGGCGCATGCTTTTACCGGTCCTATGGACGCTTGCTTTTTAGTTTACGCATGCGCCTCGGCGAGTCCGATTGTAAACAAAGGGAAGTAAATCCTACATGTATATTTATATATGTATATTTATGACTGGTAAGTTTAGCTGACCGTTCCAAGGCGGCGCCCCACTGTATTCCTCAGATGTATGTCTATGTTGTTTCATACTGTTTTGGTGACACATTTGCTTGTGTCCCTTGTTGTTTTCTCGTCTACGGTAAGTATCTTCCCCATTGCCTCTAGTTTTTTTTTCTTTGATTAACCCCCCCCTTCCCCCGGTCTCCTGTCCCCTTCCCCTTTGTGGGCCTATTATTATTTTCTTTGAATTCCTAATCAGTTACAAATTATTTATCATTTAATGATTAACGTGTCGTTGCCCTGTCCTTTTTATGTTTGGGGTCCGCCTGGGCTCCTTGCCATTGGTTCTTGTTGCTGGGTCATATGGGGGTTGCGTTCATTGAACGCCGCCTTTCCTTGTTGATCTTGTTTTTCATATTTAACGAGTGAAATAAAATTTGTAAATTGTAAGTTGCAAATAAAATTAAACATTTAACTTGCATGTAGCTGTTACCTTGACGTTTAAATGACCATTTTATTTTCATATAAACACTTATTTCTTTGTTTCTCATGTGAGCGATATAAGGGTAATAGCAAGAAACTGACCCTACCTTATTTTAGTGACTATGTCATAGGAAGAAACAAGAATAAAGATCAACGGGGTAAAGACAAGGTTCACAAGACGCGGCCCCCGACACACTCAAGTAGGGAACCCAGAAGGCACCAAATAAAAAACCTGGAGTGAACATAAGGGTTAAAGAAGTGGGACATGTAATGTGAAATAATATCAACTAAAACGGGCCTATAAGGGAATTAAAGGGATAAGGGCTGTAAGGGTGAAAAGGTGGGGGGTAAAAATGGGTGAGAGAGGGGGATTGAGAAAATGCTTACCGTCAACGACAATCCAACAATACAGACATCACAAAACATGTAAACATCCAAAACAAGTAACAATACAGACTTTGAAAACACGTGAAGAAAAACAGAGGGGCACCGCCTTGAAACGGTCAGTGGTAGTTAAACCACTTGGGAGTTTAAAATTCTGGAAACAAAGTGATCCCTCGGAAGCATCAATCACAACAAAATAACATAAGAATTGCAGACTCGGTTTGATTGAGTCTGTACATGAGGGATAATGAATAAGTGCAACATCCCTCACGCCCCCTAGCACCGGCTTGAGCGGTACTCAATTCACAACACTTTATAGTGTTGGCATCAATGATCCCGAAGGACCATAAAATATAACAACACTGAAGTGAAGTACGGGGCAACGTTTTACGGCTGCCACACAGCACTTGACACCTGCTGTTGTGAAGTACAAAATTCTGGAAACAAAGTTAAACCAGTTTTAAGCACGCAAAACATCACTCTTAGCCCAAATATGTTCCTGAATGACATGAAAGTGTAAATGAAATTAATCCCCGCCATGTGGAATTCTGAACATGGTCATGGTAAGATTAGACGAAATAATAAAACACATACAAAATTATGTAAAGGTACAGCCTAATACCCACAACAAAGTACTCGATAGCTTAAAGGTAGGCAGAGCAACAAGACAATCACCTACAAGGTCCCGACGAAGCAAGACAGAAGACGAACATTAAGACAATTCAGTCCCAAAGGGCTTTAAGAACTGTCCATCATAGAGTCTCCCACTTAGTCCGTCCGATGTAATTAAAAGAGGAACGCGTAGCGTCTAACTGTAAAATGGTTGAACACAAAGCATGCGGAATGCCTTTAAATAATTGGGTCATAACCTCTTTTAATAAACAATTTGATAATTTAAGTGAAGACTGCAGAAAAATTACAATGACCTACGAAGTTTGACAACCACATCTCCATAGAAGTCAGGTTTGCTAATACCTAGTCGTAAACGTGTTTTTCAATTACAATTAAATTTTAAAACTAAGTCTGAATATCGATAGTAAAACGTTGTAAAATATTTACGCAGTTTATGATTTAAGAAGTTTGTTAGTAATAAATAAATTGCGTTCATTAAAACGACTGCACGCCCCAGCAATTCTAATTTATTGAGAAATATACACCCCTTATGATGTAGCATGAGGTACATCATCTCTTTTATCGAAGATTTTAGTTACTATAGTATTGTTAATGGTAGAAATGTTTAAATCTAAAAAAGATGTAATAACGTCTGAAGAGTTATTTTTATTCAATTTGGGTTAACTGGGATATATATAAATAAATTGATAGAAATAAATTGATCGAAAAAAAGTTAAATGCATGTATAATTTCCTGATGTGAAGTAGCGGAAAGACTTAACATAAAATCCCTCTCATAGCAGTAAAGAAATAAATCAGCTATCGGGGGGGGGGGGCACAATATGTTCCCATTGGAATGTCTATTATCTGTTTGAAAACTGTATTACCAAACCTGTTATCTAATAAAAATGAAAAGAAAGTGCTTCACAGGTCCACATTGTATTTTGTTTAATGATACCATTGGTAAAGAAAGCCTTCTTTGAATTGCAAGCAAGAAGCGTGACCTGTTCTCTTGCAAATGTTTTTTTTTAATTAAAGATAATAATTTGTCATTTATAAGATTATGAGGCAATGTTGTATATAGGGTACTTACAGATGAAGCTTGATAATTCTTAACTTTAAAATTTCAGTTGACCAAAAAAGATTTTTGCCATATTTCATTAACTGTTTCCCCGTATCTAATCACATGTGTCTTGATGACAGTAAGACAAGAAGTCAATAAAATAGAAAGATAACAGGTAGTACAAGATGTAGAATTAGCAATAAACCCTGTAAACATGCAGTGGTTGGGCCAACCACGGAAAATCGTCAAAGGAGAATCTTGGTTGGGCCATGGTTGGCCCAACACTAATTAACATGTACTATAAATGCAGTTGTTGGCCCAACGTCGAACCAACCATAAGTTAACGCCAGCGACATTTCTGCATTGGCCCAATAACGATAAATATGTACTTTAAAACAGATGTTGGGCCAACGTTTGACCAACGATACATTTTCGTCAAATATATTACTGCACCTGACCCAAAATTTATTTTTTTTAAACACATATATGCATGTAGATATTTTACTGTATATAAACAGTACACTACAATGAGTAAAGACTAAAGTTTATAAAAAATTTTTTTGAAGCCATGTTTCAATATTGTCACATTCAAGAAATACTCATATAAATTAAATCTGAAATGTACGTAAGAAATAATTACTTTGTGAGTCTAGAAATGACCAAAGCCCAGGCTTTGCAGTAGTAGGGGATGTATCTATATAGATCTATAGAAATCTTGAAGATCTGATGTATAATCTAAGGCAATTATATATGTGCTGAAACAGATTAACCATCCTAAATGTTTACAATAAACCTCCGGAATCTTCCACTCTAAACTCTAATTAACCTCTGGTTATGTAATCAATGAATGGAAATAGGATCATTTTGGCACTACCCATCCGTTCCCTCCCTTGATTTCGAGCTGCGTGGACGTGTTTACAGATATATTTAAATAAATTTGAATTAGACTGCAATTTCTCAACACTGAAAAATGTAAGTAGATCTAGAGTTTTTTACTTTAATCTTTAAAATAAACCCTTCTAATATATTAATGTATTTAAACCTGCACGGAATTAGTGTTTTAAAACCTGTTATACTATCCACGTGACCAGGTCATGTGATTAATACAAAATGGCGGATTGGTAATGGAAAATACTTTGATGTTTTCAGGTAAACAAGCCAGAATGAATTTGATTTTTGTAATGAAATTAAAACCATTTAATTATATCAGTGTTAATCAGCTTAGAATATGATATGTGCATAATTTTACATCTAAATTTATTGTGATATAATAATAAGTTGTGATATAATAATAAGTTGCAAGTTAGTACAAACTGACAAACTACAATTAGCACTGTTAAGCTCATACAATCTGCTCTGAGTAATAAATAGGTAATTTATATTAATATGTTTGGTAGTGGTATACGAAACTTTGTGTAAATTTAATTTAAAGTGTAACTTCGCATTAAACACAAATTACTTTACCCGACTGCAAAATTGTTTTTATTTCATTTCAGACAGCAAATTTATGTCTAATTGGAGGAGATAGTGTGGAGAGCAATGTTCGCCGTGTTATGTCTCACACTTTGTCTCAGGAAGTTGCCCTAGAATACAACTGGGTTGGAAAAGGCTCGAAAAAACCATTCGAAAAACTTAGACTTAAAACAGTCATATTAGGTTTGTATTTTTACTTTTTCAAAGTTGATTTCACCGGTGCTAAAAATTTATTTTACACCGTTTGTGTAAGATATGACTCTTTATGTGTAACTGATCATCATGACTCTATTTGCATTTTGACAGAATTATGCCTCTTTTTAACTTGAAAATTTTAGGTTAAAATGTTTAATTATGTCAAATATCTCTGTTACTATTAAATCTATTGACTTGTAATTTAAAATATTTCTTTACTATCAAAGTCTTATCCCTTAGCTCTGTTTGCAGTTTTTCAGTTTTATTTGCCTTTAAACAAGTAAATTCTAATTAGTAGTGTATATTTAAATAAAATCAGTAAACTGCATAAATTTCAGATGCTGTAAGAGGAAGTAGACAGGGGTCTACTCATAATGAAATCGAGAAGACAAAAAAGGAGTGGCTAAGATATGCCAAGGATAGGGGAGGCGGGCGGAGGAAGAGACTGGCTAAAAAGTTGCAACAACAAAGAGAAGAAAATGAAAATGATATGTATACAACATTTAGAAATAAATTGTAGTAATTAGAATATTTTATGTTCTTTTATTTTACGGTCTCTCTGAATTCTAGGAGACATGCTGTTTTTGGTCTTGTCATCTGAGGGCCAGCGTTAGTAGTAAGAAACAAGTAATTGGGCCAATGGAGGGCCAACAATAAGAGTAGGAAACAAAGTGATAGGCCAACTGAGAGCCAACTTAGATAGTAGAAAATAAGGCATTGGGCCAACGAAGGGCCAATGTTTATTATAGGAAACCAGTCAGTGGGCCAACGGGGGGCTAACAATAAGAAGGGAAATCAGTTGTTGGGCCAACAGAGGGTCAACGATAGGAAGGAAAACCAGTCATTGGGCCAATGGAGGGCCAACGATAAGAGTAGGAAAGCAGTCGTTGGACCAACCATATACCAACCGTTGGCCCAACGTTGCCCCAATTAGCAAATTGACATTGGGCCAACGTTGGCATTATGTGTTGGGCCAACAAAGCAAATGTAATTGGCCCAACGTTGGGCCAACTACTGTCTGCTATCTGGGAAGCGGGCTTTATCTGCGGATGTTTCTAGATTCAAAATTCACCATTTTTGTGTTTAAATGTTGAATTCTGCTTAAGCCGGTGCTAGGGGGCGTGGACGGTAACTTGCACTTTCCAGTACCGTCCATGAACAGGCTCAATCAAACCGAGCCTGCAACATTTTCAATTTTGTTGTGTTGGCTTTTCTTTAGGGATTCTGTTTTTCACTATTTTATATGGATCTTTATGTAATTTAGGAATCCAGTACATGATGGGAAGTTTAAGCTCTCTCTCATCAACAAGTACCTTAAAGTTAGAAATCCTAGAAATATGACTGTTCACAATATCTTTTTCAGAAAAAACGATTTTAGAATAAGCATTTGTGCTGTTAAGTTCATTTTGTAAAACATTTATATAATGATGATTATGCCGCCTTGTCAGCCGAAACTAAAACAAAAGTAGAACGCTAATATATCCTTTCCAAGATGCCGTAAAGTAAGTCTAAGTTTAGGGGGTAAATGATGTTCATTCAGGCAATAAAATTCGATGCATGATTCAATAATATGAAATATATTATGTTCCCATGTATTTAGTGCATTACTATCAGCATTTTCGTCTTATCTCAAATGATAGTCACTTCTGCTGGAATATGATGATCAAGGGAGCAGCATATTTATACATGGGTAAACATCCCAATATTGGAAAAGACAATGGAGAGGTGCTGATAAATAAAATGGGCAAACGATTGTGCAAACATATCCATCTGTAGGGATACCAGGAGCTCAGCCTTGCGTTTCTGTCTGATTGATACATATTTGACTATGCTTTTTTCAATATTTATTATCTTAATGATGTTTTTATGTACCGAGTCTGCAATTCTTATGTAATTTTTGTGATTAATGCTTCGGAGGGATCACTTTGTTTTCAGATTCTTAATCTTACCTTATTAAGTGCTGCTGGCTTTTTAAGTCCATTCAAATATTTTCAAAAATGTAACCTTCCAGTTTTGAACATTTTTTTTTTGCAGAGCTCAAAAAATAGATAAATACAGAATCCCTTAAGAAAGCCAAACACGGCAAAATTGAAAATGTTGCAGGCTCGGTTTGATTGAGCCTGTTCATGGACGGTACTGGAAAGTGCAATAAATATGCACACAAATGTAATTCAAAGGTGTACCATTTCTTCCTGAAAATCAGTGTTAATTATATCATTGAGCCAAGCGTGTGTACTGCTAAGTTTACTATAACATGGTTTTAATAAAATGGGCAAAAGATTTTGCAAACATATCCATCTGTAGGGATACCAGGAGCTCAGCCTTGCGTTTCTGTCTGACTAATACATATTTGACTGTGCCTTTTTTAATACTTATGATCTAAGTAATCTTTATATATAGAATAGATAAATACAGAATCCCTAAAGAAAGCCCAACACGGCAAAATTGAAAATGTTGCAGGCTCGGTTTGATTGAGCCTGTTCATGGACGGTACTGGAAAGTGCAAGTTACCGTCCACGCCCCCTAGCACTCAATCAAACCGAGTCTGCGATTCTTATGTAATTTTTTGTGATTAATGCTTCCGAGGGATCACTTTGTTTCCAAATTCTCAATCTTATCTTATAAATTTATTGCCCTAAGAAAACTCGACTTTTTAAGTGTGTCTTAAACGAGAAAACAATTGGCGGAACTAAATAAAATGGAATTTTGAAAGGGGATCTGAGGTTAAGAAGCCTGCATATCACAGATCTGACGTCAAAAGACAATTTTAAAAAGCAGGCCACATATCCTTAGGGTGATTCAACAGTATTCAAGTTAGGAATACTGGAACCATCCAATAAGAAAGCTGCCGAATGTAAAGAACTTAATTAACACATGCACAACAATTATGTCGTGCTGAACGATCTTTAAGGATCGGAAATATAACATCCCTGATTGAATTTACTGGGCGACTTTTTACGGCCTTCACATGGCACAAACAACTCTGATGTGGCGATAAAATAGAGAGAAAAGAAAGCCCAACACGGTAAAATTGAAAATGTTGCAGGCTCGGTTATTTTCTGGTCCATCGGGATCATTGATGCCAACACTATAAAGTGTTGAGAATTGAGTACCGCTCAAGCCGGTGCAAGTTGGCGTGAGGGATGTTGCACTTATTCATTATCCCTCATGTACAGACTCAATCAAACCGAGTCTGCAATTCTTATGATACTTGACTAATGGCTCCGAGGGACACCTTTGTTTCCAGAATTTTGATTGAGCCTGTTCATGGACGGTACTATCACGTACAAACTACCGTCCACGCCCCTAGCACCGGCTTAAGCAGAATTCAACATTAAACATGAACTGGTAAAATTTAGAATTTTGAAACATCTGCAGATGTGTTCATATGGCGGTTATCATGGAGCCTTCAATGCGACACGTTAGTGCCATTCCATGAAAAGCGGTATATGGTCCCCAAGTAAAAAAAATGCATGTGCCCTAAACGAGTAGACAAAGGGCGGAACTAAATAACATTGAATTTTGAAAGGTGATCTGAGGTTATGAAGCCTGCATATCACAGACAAGACGTCAAAAGACAAATATCAAAAAGGCAGGAAGCATATCCTAAGGGTGATACAGTAGGAATACTGGAACCACCTTAGTTGGAGCGGTAGTTTGCACTTGACAGTTCCGTCCACGAACATCAAACCGAGCCTGCAACATTTTCAATTTTTCAGTGTTGGACTTTCTTTAGGGATTATTATTTTGTGTATTTATTTACATGGGGACCATACGCCGCTTTTCATGGATTGGTACGAAAGCGTCCCATTGAAAGTTCTATGACAAATTAACCGTTGTATGTATACATCTGCGGATGTTTTTAAATTCAAAATTTCACCATTACCATGATTAAATGTTAAATTCTGCTTAAGCCGGTGCTAAGTGACGTGAACGGTATTTTGCACTTTTGTCTCCAATTTGTAACAAATTGTTTTAGCTTATTTTCTTTTGGAATATAAGTTATTTTGAATTATATGCATCGATTTTTGCTCTAACAGCACAGTTATGTGAGGCTTTCCGGAGAGCTTTGTGAAAATATGCGCTAAAACCTGATGTACCAAGACGTTTATTCTTTGCCATTTTTATATTTAATTTTACCTTCGATAACATTTGAATTTTAGTGACTTAAAATTGATACGTCTTATTATTTTACGAACACAAAAATTGGTCGTGTTGTTTTGGTTTGGTGCCTTCTGGGTGCCCTGCTTCGTTGTTGATTGTGATGGGGGGCTGCGTCCTGTGAACGTTACCTTTCTTTCGTTTCATAAATTAAAGATTTCTTAAAGAATTGGGAAACTTTTGTTAAATAATTCCTGTTTTGCTTAAGATTTTGATCTTGAATTATCTTTGTCCGGATATTAATTATATGCAAAAATAGAAATACTAGATTCCATTAGCTACATATATATTTCAAAAGCCAATTAGAAATTTATATTTCACACGATGTGTTGTTAAACTTCTAATTTTCTGAATTATATTCAAGGATTTTCATAATAAAACTACTTAATTTATTGCAAAAAGAAGTTATAACAAAAGACAAAAGGGTTGAAAAGTAAATGCAAAATGATTGAACAAAGTCATTGCTCAACCACATCATAATTATCAATAATTATCGGACTTTTGGTCAAGTTTTCAGATTTTTAATGTACACCTTTGAACACTTTGATGGTTTAATGCGTGATTTTAGGCTGTAAATATCATACTATTGTTTTAACAATCTAAAAACATTTAAACGTTTCTTGCGTCATTAAGATCTCTTCATATTTCAAAGGTTATCAATATATTTGTCGAAGGGAAATAAGTTATAATTTATCAGATACCTTTCTTTGATACAGAAAATCAACATATTCTGATAGTATTTTATATTAGATAGTCTTACCTTTATTTGGAATATATATCTCTTTTCTAGAATCATATTCTTCACCTAAAAAAGATGAAAATCTAATATAATAGCTAAAACTCTTATTATATGACTTGTCATTATAATGCAAAATTCTACCTTCTATAGGCATTTGTATGAAAAAACCAAAATAACAGTTCTTCTCATCCTATATGATTTAGTAGTCTCTTAATATGATATAAGTTATCATCAATCTCTTTATTTATAGTTCAATCTTTAAGATAAAAGAGTATTTTCATTTGAATTCCGGCATATTAACAAAGGTAAGTTAACAAAAAATTAATTATCACTTTTTGTTGATAGAAAATGAACAAAGTATTATATTTTTATATACTCTCAGTTTGATTTTCAAACAGCAACATCTTCCTATTAATGTTTTCTGTCTCACTGACACATAAGATAAATAAAATAAACAACTGTTTCTTATCTAAAACATGTATCTAATAAATACAATAGAATGAATACAAGTCGCATATTGGAAAACTCAAAAAATCGTCTCTTTCATGGAATTGTTGGAATAGTGTCAATAAACCTTTGACTGTGTTTAAACTACAACTTAAGTACTAAATATCGCATAATTATCTTCTCTGAAGAGATATATATCGCATTTTCTATAGACCAAGTACACTTATACTACAACGGTGACAGCATTTTGTTTTTGTATATTGTTGCTATTAGCTATGTTACCTGTCTATATATTATGCTAGAAACTTTGTATAAAGTTTAAAGCAAATAAACGGTATTGTATTGTATACTTGCGAAATTAAACAATCGTCTTAATTTTCGTTTGTTGTGTGTTTATCAAGTGCTAATTATTGCATGGGAGACTACCGAAATTAAGAAATACGAA